GGGTTTAGGGTTTCAGGGTTAGGGGCGTAGGCAGCCCAGCACAATCCAGGAAAAGATTCTCCTATGATGCGACTCTCTGAATTCCCTAGACCCGAACCCCTAAACCAGTAACACCAACCCAACCCAACCCTGAAACACCGAAAACCCTGAGGGCAAACCCTGAACAGTAAAATACAAACGGTCATCAAAGCCAAAACACAGCCCTCTGTAACCCATTCAGTAGCCGCAGTGGCCTCTTAATGATACCAGTGCAAAAGCATTTCTAATTACTAAGTTCTCAAAAGGCGACCCGAACACCAAAAAATAAGAAGGGTATGACTAAATGCAGAATCTCAGAACCACCTGAACCCTAAATCCGAAACACCCTCAACCACTAATATGTAGTAAGAAACCCCCATAACTTAATAACACCATCGGCGGAACTAAAATGCACTAACATGGACTCCACAAGAGTAACGTTGCTCAGAAACCCTGGGCCATATTGAAGAACCTTCTGCAGTCTGTTCTAAACGCAGAAAAAAAAGCTCATGAAGCCCTGTACTGAGACTAGCCACTTGATCAAATGCATTCGTTAATTAAGGGGTTTGTCTCTGAGAATGCTGGCCCCTTAAGCCTAATAAGCCCTAAACCCTAAACCCAATGCCCTAAGCCCTAAACCCTAAACCTAAAACCCTAAACCCTAAACCCAAAGCCCTAAACCCTAAACCCTGAGGCCCCGACGTTGCTTTTGCTACGCAGGCCTGCAGACCTGCAAGAATTGGCACAAAGAGGCAGGACTCAGGTTCTTAGGGATTCGGGGTTTAGGTGGTTTAGGGCTTCGGGACTAGGGCTGACGGCTTCGGGATTGTGGATTGGGGTTTAGGGTTTTAGGGTTAAAGGGACAGACATGCACGAACGAAATACACACCGAAGAGTCGCACAGGTATAAGGGTTCAGGCATAACGCTAAGTTCGCCTAACCCTACGTAAATCCCTAACCCTTCTACAACAAATGTATTCGTCGCTTCCTGGCAATGTCCGGGCAACCTCCTGGTTGATGTTTCCGTGGGTGAAAAAGCTAAGAACCCTAAACCCTAAACCCTAAACCCCTAAACGGGTTCAGGGCTCAGGGTGCAGGGTTTGGGCTACCAAGGCTTGTAAATTCAAGGTCTTCTTCGATTTTAGGATTGGGGGTTTGAGTTTTGGGAAACTACACAACAGAAGTGGAACTTCCCCCAAACAAAGCCGACAAGTCCTCAGAACCCACACTCTCAGAAGTCGTCGCCCCCCTGCGCCGTTCTCCTTATCGGCCTGTTTTCGTAGCACAATAAAAACTCCATATATGCTTACAAATACCCTGAGGTTGTATCGTAGCAACATGTATGTGGGTAGTTCTCTAGATTAACATCCCTTTTAGGGTACTTTTTATAAGGGTGCCGTACTTATATTGGGGACCGCCCTAAACCCTAAACCCTAATTTCGAGAACTACACATGTCCACCACATGTAAGGGCCTATTCCCGGGAGACGCGTTTCACTCTGCTCCCCTGTCAAAGTACGCAATACGTATTTTGGGGGAGATCTCTATAAAAGAGACCCTAAACCAAATCAACCAACAAGCAAGACGGTACCGAAGACCTAAACCCTAAACCCTAAACCCAAAGTCCTAAACCCTAAACCCTAAAGCCTAAAGCCAAACCCTAAACCCTAAACCCTAAAGCCTAAACCCTACAGGGAACCCGGATCTGCCCCTGGCGCCTTGGAACCACCAGGAATGAGCTCTCAGGCGTCTCGCATCTTCTGCTCATGGTGGCCCACGGAACAATGCATGGCCTCACGCAGGAACACTACTTCACAGTTTCGGGTTTAGGGTTTAAGATTTTAGGGTTTAGGGTTCAGGGGTTACGGGTTTAGGGCTTGAGGGGTTTAGGGTTTAGGGGTTTAAGGTCCTAAAGCAGTTCTTATCAGGTTCCTATGAGGATTCTATATGGCTATTATTTCGGAGTTTTAGATGCTAGGGTTTGGTGTTGACGGGTTTAAGGTTTCGGCGTTCCTGCGCAGGAATAGCAGTAGGACACCCAAACGTTCAATCCGAAACACACCCAAAATCCCTAGACCCCCAAAGCTTGAAAGGACATCAAACTATAAACCCTAAACCCTAAGCCCTAAACCGGCACTTCAACCAACCCGCTTGTAAAACTTAGCATTGTAGGCCCTCTAATGCCCTAAGCCCTAAACCCTAA